TGCCATTCGTTGGTCCGCCCGCTTACTTACTTCAGTTTGTTCCGTCAGATGGCAGGACAAGCACTTATCAAACAAAAGTGCTCACACTCTCTCTCACTCATTGTAAAGATGATGTCATCGGCGGAAGAGTCGATTTGATACAACAGGGATTGCGAGTATGTTAGTTTATCGAGAGATTGACAAGAGTATTTTATAATTTTTTGAAGTTCTACATAGTTGAATGTTACTGATTCTTGACGTCACCATAATAGTATTGTAAGTCACGCGATTTACTGAAGTGGATATAAGCTTAAAGGGGATCCTAACATAATTACTATTCCGAACTCTTGAGAAATGTACTTAAAAGAAAATAGATAAAAAAAACCTGAACCTAGTGTAATTATAGATTTAAAGTAAGTTACATTTTACAACGTAATTAGAAAGTCAAAATCGAATAAAACTACTCCCCCTTACTTTACTCATTAAACAAACAAAAAAGTTGGTAGTAAATATCTATATTTCTTAATATCATTGCCACTTATGATTAAAATGTCCGCTATCAGTAATTATTTTAGACAAAATGTAGCGAGTTTCACTGTAAATTGTTTGGTTTGTTCAAGGAAAAACTTTTTTGCAACAGTTCCAAACAAAAATAAATTATTTGACTAATTAATACAAAACTATCGTTAAAATTCTAAATTGGAAAATGTGAATTGAAATTATCAATCATGCTCTAATTTCTGATATAATTCTTTAATTAAAGATAGCCCAGATTGGCGTTAATTATTAAGCAGCACAGGTGCCTAAATGGGGCGCCAAATACTTGGAGGCTCCAATGTAAACAGGGGTGAAATATCCTGCCCAGGGCACTGGTTAAGCTATCGACAGCCTGTCTATAAACCTGCGACGGTTCCGTTCTTTAGGACTCCAGAACAGTTATATTGTATTTTTACATTGCATCTTAACATTTATACAATATTAACAATGAAACGTTAAATCATTTCTTAACGAGTGTATTTCGGTATAGATATTGTTGCTTCAGCGAGTCACATGACTAGTGTGACGCCACGTTTCTAGAACTATCCGTACCTTGGC